AAGGTAAGGATGGTACGATTGAACTTCAAGTCTACACATCTTCGGAGCCATAATGGAAAATGGAAAATTAAACTTTTGGTTTTTCTCACTTGCAAAGTCAGATAGATTCATTTAGGTTCTTCTGAGGTTCCCGTTATCGGCTCATACAAAAGTGACAAAAGTTTCCATAACGCTTCCTTATGTGCAACAATCTGTATTGACCTTTTTGCTCCCTCATTTTTCCCCTCTTTCTTGAGTCTTTCAAACTCTAGCAGAATCAAAAGTAGTATGAAGAAAAAGAGGGCTAGCGCCTTTTTTTTCTCTGAGATAGTGGCTCTAAAAATATGCGGACTTGTGATTAAATATTGTCCCATTGAGACAAACATACCAATGATGTGTTTGCCGTATTGAAAAGTTCGAAGAGTCGATATGTACGGCTTGATAGTCATCATTATCTTTTTGCAGTGTTCAGAATCGGCGACGTCGAACATTTTCTGGACGACGTAATTGGCAAAAGGATCTTTCATCATATGAACGATAGCAGGCGTAGTTCTGAGAAGAGGAAATTCACAAGATTCCGTACTTTGGCTCACCCCATTGTTTGATCGCACGCCATGTTGATTATGAAGCCTTTCTGCTCCGAATCTCCATGAATCAAGCATTTTTCCAAAACATTCGAGGCGAATTTGTGTTTGGCATATTTCAGAACATCTGACGCAATCTGAGAGATCTTAAAAATTTTCAAGAAAATTTTTTTGCGCTCATTCCTTCTTTCATTTTCAATATTTTTTCTGACAAGAACGGTTGAAAATAGGTAATAAACGCATTTAACGCTTTTTCAAAAGCACGAAATCTCGATCCTATCTAATTTCAAACTTTTTTGAGTAATGATGTATTAAAAAAGAACTTACTCGATTTACAACTTGGGCTTTATCTCCTTTCGAGCCGTGAATTACCATATGTTGCACAACGTAATTACCGTACTGATCAAAAATAACTTCTTCGAAATGAGAGTGCAATTTTTGAAGAATCGGACGAACTTGGGCTTCGGTACAATGTTCAAGAACACGTTGTACAACGCGGCATCCATACGTGTGAACAGACATTTTGTGTACCTGCGTGAACAAAGGACAGAACTGATATGGCTGACTGAAAATTATAGCCGACTCATGGCTAGCTTGAGCCATCGAAGAAAAGGTCCTGACACGATTAAGAAAAAAAAAGATATAATGCCTGGTTGATAGATTTCGTAGACAGTTCCACGATCCTTCGCGTCCCAAGCTAGTCGTTAATTGGAAATCGTTTTCCTATTGAGGATGCAAAAAGAAATTCGGAGCATGAAGACTTGATGATAGGAAGAAATCGTCGTCCATTTTACGTCAATTTCATGTTTTACTTTTCCAAAAGGCGTTCCCGCCGCATTACCGACTGACGGTTTTTTCGTCCTAATTCTATTTATGATGTTTTTTCTTCTTCTTTCCTCTTTTGAGGGTAATCGCGAACTTCTAGATGAAACTATTTTGGAATTTATAAAATAATATGATTTAATAGATACCTGCAGTAGTGAGTATTATCGAATATAAACAGAAGTCCCTTTCAAAAATCCAAAAAGTACTCGAGAAAAAATGGCTAGGACAGAAGAGCCAAAAGCGCTTGAGCTCGTTGAAGTTTGCTCTAATGATAATCAGCAGCAAAGCCTCAACCATTTCTGAATTTTTGAAGAACATTTTTGTCAAAAATCATGACTTTGTGAAAATACTTACTGCTTTATGGCTTTAATTTCTGAATAAAACAAATTTTCCCGACTTTCCGAACTTTCACGGCTTCAGGGATAAAATTCTTCCTCATAATGAGAATTTAAAGAGAAAAAAAAATTGAGAAAATGAATATTCGAGTTAGCCGTTGAGCAAACTTTCCCCGGACACTAGCGCCTGTTAAATTTACCTCCGTCGTTTTTAAAGGATATTTTTGAATGACTCTTTTGTCAACGGTTATTACATCTGAGGCTAAAGTTACGAATTTAATGAATGCCTTCAGAAAAAAAAAAAAAATATATATAGTACCATATCCTCGGTGAGTAGCAGAGCATCAACTATAAACTGCACACGTGTGGATTTAACACGTTCCACCGCCTTTTGAATAACGTGATTTCCATTCTGATCTTCCATGCATTTCAAAACCTACAAAACCATAAAGTAAAAAGAAATAACAAAATAAACAGACGCTCTTTTCGATTTCCGCCAAAATAAGCAATTGCAATGGCTCTTCGATGAACTCAGAGCTTTTTGCAGTACTCGACAAGCGTACATTTGAAATGCGTACTTGACGACGTTCCCCTGGAAAGCTTCAACAAGCCTATTTCGATGGGAAGCAGAACCGAATTCCAGAAACTTCTGGAAAACCTTTTCTCTAACGATTTCCAATTGCAACGAAACCTGCACCACATAGTTACCAAATATGTCATTTACAAGTTCTGCGGAGAACTTGACAACTTCATCAAAAATCGCGTCTTTCTCATCGATGTCACACGCTTCCAGCTTCTGTTGTATAAACCTGCAAAAGGAAATAAATTCAAAGTCCAGGCAATAACGCAACCTAGAGCCCAATTGGTCTTTTGCAAACTCGAGAACGTGGCCAGAGATTTCGTGCAGTTTTAATGATTTGTTCCCGTTATTCCTGTACGACAGCAGCAGATCGCCCATCGGTTTTTCACTAATATACACATCTTTTTACATCAAATATCTCGAAAAGAGACGAAAACAGGAAATTTATGATTTTACCAGACCAGGAACTCTCTTTCTTCTCCTTTGCGCTTTTTTGAGTTTAGTCATTCATTCTTTTATTTCGCGTTCAGAGTGATTTCTGAACACACCGAATCGTTGAGAATGCACCAGGAAATCCTATGGAAACTTGGAAAGATAGTGTTTAGAATACTATTCTTAGTCTTTTTTAGAACTTGAATGATTTAACAGCCAAACTTTTCGGCGCTTCACAGAACACTACGAAAAAATAATTTTTGAAGATCCCAAGTACTCTCTGATGAACCCTCAACGCGACCAAACCACGTTGAAGTAAAATAACACTTCTGGCGATATGATCCATTTTTCTTGTTTTTCACGGAACAACGCTTACTCTTTTTTAGGGGGTAACTGAACAGCTTGTGGTTGACTGAAAAATCCTTGTTGGATGAAGTTAGGCATGATGGGATGTTGAGGAGGCGCGTAACCTATAAGATACAAAAAAAATACCACACATCCCTTTCTCTACTATAAAGTGGCAATCGCTGGCTGTCGGGCGCGCTCAGAGCATCAAAAGTAAGACCTCATCGCTTTACACATTTTTTGGTGGAAAAAAAACGATTGCGTTTCAAGCTGCTGTAGTCATTGGTAACCATTAATAAAATAAGACTTTCTATGGTTCTCAAGAACGAAATAATCTAATTTAACCTGTCCCACTACAAGCATTCGATCTGAAAAAGTCCATGGGAACATTCATACTGGTCGATGTCGGGTTTTCTATCATCATTATTGGAGCATACGACACTGGTGGACCTAGAAAATGAAAGGTCTGAAGAACGAAAAATAATGGAAGCATTACTGTTGGCGATGGCGAAAACAGTTGGATTTTCGTTGATTGGCATGTGCATCGAGGGAATCGGTGCTGGTCTTGTGTATACTTGCATTCCTGAAGGCGCAGGAGGCGAGAACGAAAACACTTGGGGTTTCATTTCTAAAAAAAATCTCCGCATGCAGTGAACTACATTTTTGTGTTGCTTTTCATGTTTTCATTTCATGTTGCTAGTCTAATGAATTCGCCTGTTTGAGATTATCCGTATTTCCGTATTTTTACATCACAGATTTGATGTTAGGCTGTCAAGAATCTTCATTTTCATATGTAAAAATTCGAAACTAATTGTCCGTTCTTGAAACGAAAAAAAAAATAGTGAACTTTTTCTGCCGTTCAATATGCGCATAAAAAGTTACGATTCCGCATAACTTCTTTTTTCGAGTTCAGATGGAAAATTTTTCAAGAAGATTTTAGGAAAATCATTCTGAAAGAGTTAGGAACACGGAAGTTCAAATCTTTTTTTTATCAACTAAACGCATCTCCTACTATTCGAAGACTCAAGTTTTGGAAATCCTGGGATTTCATAATGAGAGATGCTTTAAAATTCCACTCGATGATAAAAAGACCTCGACGAAATGATAATTTTTGCAAATTTAGGGAGGTTTGTCAATCATTTAAATATACACATTTTCTTATATTCAGAAGTTCAAAATAATGTTACATTTTTAGAGCAGCCAAAAAACGCTTTCTGAAAAGAAATGTGACCGTTCAAAGTCAACCATTGAAAACTGAGTCCAGCATGAAGGAGGAAGACCTTGACAGGATTGAAGCGTATCTTTTCAGTTTTTACTCTATAAAACAAGTTTTCTGTTTTTGAATGGTGTGCAAACTATGCACGGTTTTCGTGGATTCTGAATCTATCGACAGTTCTCACGTTTCGCTCGTAGTAGCTCTAAAATTACAAAATCTCGAGAGGGTCTTCAAGCTTTGATCCACACTGTATGTCAGAAAAGTTCTGCTTCCATTCCAAATAATTTTATTTGAAATCACCTTTTAATCAATTTTTTCTTTTTCCCAATTAGAGCTTTGTTTCGTTTTTCATAACGAATGACAGGTTTCAACACAAAAAAGAAATCCTTGTTATTTTTTCCATGAGTCAAATTGTCGCTGGAACGATTATCTGAACGATACCTGGGAAGGAAGGGTTACTGAACATCGGAACAACGGCTGGATATATCGGCGAGTTGGGTGGGAGCCAGCCGACGGCATTTCTGGAAGGTGGCGTACCAAATGCATGACCTTCGGAAGATCCCCCGATCACGCGACCACCTCTGCTCAGGTAAGAATCTATCTGAAAATTGGAGAGAGACCATTTGCATCCACATATAGCAAAATAAAAAATATCTCGTCTTGGCTGCTCAAGAAAACCTCGCGTAGAATCTTTTCGAAGAAACAAAAAGAAACAAGAAGAGCATGAACAGTGATCACATTCCGTGAAAATTTTTCACTCATTTGTGGTCGCCTTCATTTCGAGGCTTCCAGGTAGAATGAGGGAACTGGCCACAACAATACAAAGTTTTCGAAAATAGTCTGCCCATGTATGACAGTGGGAAGAAAACTACACAAATGTTAGTACACATTCGATTTTTGGTTTGAAAAAGTATAGAAATTTGAAGAAAAGAGGACAGAGGCTAAAAT